CCTCCTCGCGGGACAGCCTGCGGGAGCAGACGCTCAGCAAGCAGACCTACCACAAGGAGGCCCGCAGCAGCTGGGACTCGCCAGCCTTCAGCAACGACGTCATCCGCAAGCGGCACTACCGCATCGGCCTCAACCTCTTCAACAAGTGAGTGGCCCCGTGGGAGGGCGGGCGCGGGCCGCGGGCACAGTCTGGGCAGGCGGGGAGGGGCAGATCCGGTGGGCTCTGGGCCAACGTGGGAGTGAGGGCCACGTACGCTGATGTTGGCACAGCCAGGCCACTGCCCTGGGGTGGCACATGCTACAGGACAGAAGGGCAGAGCGGAGGCAGAAGAACTCGGAGTGGGGCCCTGCTCCATGTCCACCCCGTGTCCCCCAGCAGTGAGGCGAGTGTCAGGCTGAGGGGCCGATGGAGGCGACAGCAGCCTCGGTCCGGCACAGAGCAGGTTTGTGTCTCGGGCTGAGAGTCCGGGGCACTGGCTGCCAGCCCTGAGCCAGGGCCAAGGGTGAGCGGACAGAGTCTGGGGAGCTGTGGGGTTGGGCTGCTCACCCGGGGGCAGGCCCGAGAGCAAGTCCCTGGAGAGAGGAGGAGGATCAGGGTATTCAAAGCAGACCATTCTTAGCAGGGCTGAAAATAGCAGGGGGAAGGAGAGGAGGACCAAGCCTCCCTCAGAGGGGCCTTGGGAGGCTCTTGGGCAGCATGAGATTTCACATTATTTTCAGCCCCAGGGCCCAGGGGATCTTGGGTCGTCAGACACCAGCCAGGCACGGACTCCCCCGGGTGGAGACGTCACCAGCCTTGTGTGGCACTTACTCCAAGGTCCCCTGAGAACAGCTCAGCCGGTAGCGGTGGCTGCTTCTGCTGGACTGGGGAGACTCGGGGCTGCTTTTGTGGCACCCAGGTGCAAGCGGAACCAGGCACGGTCCCCCGGGTGGAGACGTCACCAGCCTTGTGTGGCACTTACTCCAAGGTCCCCTGAGAACAGCTCAGCCGGTAGCGGTGGCTGCTTCTGCTGGACTGGGGAGACTCGGGGCTGCTTTTGTGGCACCCAGGGGCAAAAGGAAGGG